CTGACAGTTAGAACAATTAATCAGTGGAACAGCTTGCCTCCAGAAGTTGTGAATGCCCCAACACTGAAAGTCTTTAAGAAGATGTTGGATAGCCACATATCTGAAACGGTATAGGGTTTCCTGCCTAGGGTTGGACTAGAAGATCTCCAAGGTCCCTTCCATCTCTGCTATTGTATTGTATTATTGTACTGAACCACAAACTGTAGGGTAGGCATCCCAAGATAGCATTTGTGGAATACAGGTTGTCTACAATTTATGATTAGATTTCTGGTTATAAATCATTATGGTTGTAAGTTGAGGGACCCACATGACCAAACCCACATGATTTTACTTTTTTCATGGCAGTTTTTAAGCAAATAACCATGGTTGTTAAGCACATGCTTCACTTGTAAGTGCAAATCCATTCTTCCAAATGGGTGGGGTTTTTTTTGCCAGAAACTGACATACAGTGTCAGAAACTGTCCTAAACCTTTGCAGAATGTGGCCATGTGACCCCAGGATTGTGGGGTGAGGTGTCACAATATTTTACAACAGCTAGAAGTGCTTTATGTTAAATGTCTGGTTGTAAGTCAAAGACTATATCTAGTGCTCTGAAAAGGAACTCTTGATGTTAAGAATGGCATGTAGCGACCCTGTAGCTTGCCTTCACTGTACTCTATGGGAATGCACAGATAATTTTAAAGAAGTTATGCAGGAATGGTTAATGAAAATGAGCAACAACTCAATCCTGGGAAAGGAGGGGGCATGAGAATGGCATTCAAGATAACCTTCTTTGAGTTTGTTTGGTATAAGAACAAGGAGAAAGAAACTCTGGCGGGCTTTCAAGATTCTGTGATTATTCCTATAACAATTAAGTAACATTCCTGTAACAGTTTTCTGACTGGCATACCTCAAAGGGCCCTCAGGAACTTTTCTTGTCTTTTCTCGCAAAACTCATACTATTGAGAGGATTTCAAATAACATTTCTCTATCATACTGGCCAAAGTGCTTCTAGTTCAGCAAATCCCTAGGGCATCAAACATTGGCTCAATTGGAGTACCTTTCACATCCACTGAGAGTTTTCTAGGTGAAGGGAGTTTGTCAAATGCTAAAGGATTGTTTGCACTGTGTTGGATGTTCTTCTCTCTATAGTACCACATGTTGAGGGACTGTCAGTCAAGGTACATGTTTTAGCCCATATCTTGCCCATTGTGGTAGTATTTCAGCTACTTCTAGAAAAGAATGAAGGAATCTTCATCCTCAGCAATGGCCACCTACATATCTTCATCCAGGCAAATTGGAATACCTCCTCACTCTGGTAAGTCACCTCCATGGAGAAAAATCAAAGCTAAACTAAATCAATTTGCATGATCCTCCTGAAAAGGTGACTTTCTCATATCAATATCAGAGAGGCCACCACCCTATTCTACTATTTTTCAATTTTGTTTATATACAAAAACAAACATTAATAAATCAGAACAGAGCTGGAAGAGAGCTTGGAGGTCTTCTAATCCAACACCCTGTGCAAGTAGGAGACCCTATACCAGTGATGGCTAACCTTTTTCTCCTCACGTGCCAAAATCATGTGTGGCCACACCTGTAATGCAATGCACCCCCCCATGCATGCACACGACACCCCTATTTTGGGCCTAGCAGGCCTCCCTGAAGCCTTCTGGGACAAAAACAGGCCACGTGCAACCCCCTCCCCACAACACATGCCCGCATGTCTCCCGCATGTCTCCCCCATGTGCGGCAGAGACCCAAAAATCAGCTGGCTGGTGGGAGGCACACGCATGGATCTGAGCTAGGCGATGGCTTGCGTGCCCGCATGAGTGCTACATGTGCCACCTGTGGCACGTGTGACATAGATCAGTGGTCCCCAACCTTTTTATCGCCGCGGACCAGTCAGCCTTTGATAATTTTACCGTGGCCCGCTGAGCGCGC